CCCACCGCGAAGAGCCCTGGCTCGCTGGCCTTGAGCAGGCGGTAGGAAAGCCAGGCGTTCTGGCCAGAGTCTCTGTCCACCGCCACCACCTTGGTGACCAGGTAGCCGGACTCTGCGGATCGGGGCGCCAGCTCCACGCCTGTGGAACCGTCAGTGGGGAGAGCGGGGTACAGGATTTCGGGGACATTGTCGTTCTGGTCCAGCACGAATATGCTAAGTGTCACATTGCTGCTGAGTGGAGGGTTCCCACTGTCGCTGGCTGTCACCAATAGCTGTAGGTCTCTAACCTGCTCATAGTCAAAGGAACGGAGCGCATACAGGACACCGGTGTCAGAATTGATGGAGACATAGGTGGAGAGAGGCACTCCCTGGATAGTATCCTCAGTCAGTGCATAAGTGATGTGGGCATTGTGGATGCTGTCGGGATCCTGGGCGATCACACAGAAGATGGAAGCTCCTCTGGGGTTGTTTTCAGGAATGTAGGCAGAGTAGGAGGACTGACTGAAGGCAGGTGGGTTGTCATTGATGTCTTCAACATGCAGAGTGATATGAGTGCTCGTGGACAGTGGGGGATTTCCCCCATCTGTGGCTCTGAGAGTGATGTTATATTCAGACACCTGTTCACGGTCTAGAGATCTGGCTGTCACTAAGCGGTAATATTGGTCTATTGATTTTTCTAAATTAAATGGCATATTTCCCAGGACAGAAACTGTGACTTGCCCATTTTGCCCAGAATCCTGATCGTGCACATTGATAAGGGCAATTTCTCTTCCAGCAGGAGCCTCTTCTGGGACTGATCCAGTAAGAGAAGTGATTGCAACTTCTGGGGCATTGTCATTCACATCCAGAACTGTGACTAAAATCTTAGCTCTTGAAAGGAGACCAGGTCCATCTTGTGCTTCAATTTTAATTTCATAGAATGTAGCATCCTCATAATCTAGACTTTTTAAAATTGATATATCTCCAGTCACTGAATTGAGATCAAACATCTGAGCGACTTTCCCAGGCATTTTATCTAGAATATAGGACACTTGAGCATTGAATCCTTCATCAGGGTCAGTGGCATTCACTGTGAGCAGCGTGGTACCCAATGGCAAGTTCTCTGGAACACTTACTTGATATTCAGATTGAGTAAATACTGGTGGGTTGTCATTTGCATCCAGAACTACCACTTGGATGTACAAGTTGCCAGAGCGGACAGGGTTTCCACCATCAGAAGCAATGAGGACAAGCTGGTGAACTTTCTTTTGCTCACGGTCCAGAGCCCTCTCTAGTACCAGCTCTGGGTACTTGGCCCCATCAGAGACATGCTTCATAGCCAGGGAGAAGTAGTCATTGGGGCTGAGGTGGTAGTTCTGAAGGGAGTTCATGCCCACATCTGGGTCAAATGCAGTCTTAAGTGGAAATCGAGTTCCAGAAACTGTTAGTTCACCAATTTTTATTTCCAATTCCTCTGTTAGAAAATCAGGAGCATTATCATTAATGTCTTTAATTTCTATTTCTACTTCAAAAATTTTCAATTTGTCTTCAACCAGGATGTTAAATTTCACCAGACACAATGTGCTCTGAGCGCAGAGCTCCTCCCGGTCTATCCTACCTGCTGTGACCAAGCTGCCGCTTCGCAGGTTCAGAGCAAAGAGCTGCGTCCTACCTCTGGAGACGATGCGGACTCCATGCTCCACCAGCTCCCAGGGCTGGAGTCCCAAGTTCTCGGAGATGTTGCCCACAAAGGAGCCTTTGTCCAGCTCCTCCTGCACTGAGTAGTGGATCTGCCCGGATCCAGTCTTGCACAGCATCCCCAGAAGCACGCTCAGCAGGGTCAGTCCTTTGCAGTGTTTGTATGTCAGGTATTTGATCATTTTCTCTTTGGTGAATTATTTTCTGTGAAATAGGTTCCAATTGCCCGCGACGGACTCAAATATTTTTTCTCAAGGAACTAAGCCTTTTATGGTCCTAATTTAGGAGTCACAGAGCTGGTTGACTGACAAGGTGAGCTTTGTAGCAGCCTCCGATCTTCTGCAGTCTGACTGACTCGTTCTTTGCTTTTTAGGAACAAGGAAATGGTGGACTAGCTCTTCAGCTCCGTTTTCCTCCTTGAGTGGTCAACAGCGACACTCAGAGGCCTATTGATTTACTGCACCCTCTCAGACAAACCCAAGTAAGTCATTTTTAAGTTTCCCAACACCTGCAATCGTCTTTATCAGAGGTAATGGGATTGGTGTCTATTTCACACACTCGAATTGCTATAAATTAAAGTATGTAACTTCAAGTTCCTTGGGAAGCCATGCTCTAACCTTAACACCACCAATATTGCTTCAAACACGCTGGAGTTACTGTTTTGAAATGTTCAAAGTTTAAAAACCACAAGAAAAAATAAGCCATATTTATAATTATACTTATTGAAGTTTGTCCTTGATAGCATGACATCTTAGTTTCAATATTTGTAATTTAACGCATTCATTAAACAAACATAAAATTGGATGTTAGACGATATGTGGGGATTTAAGGTAAATTATACGAACATAACCACTTCCCTCCCCTGAAAAGCTATGAAGATAAAATCAAACAAGGAATTCCAGTGCATTGAGAAAGCTACCAAAATGGAAGAAGCCAAAGGTGATGGGAGGGCCTCCAACCTGGCCTCGGAGATTAGCAAAGACTCTCTCAAGAAACATGACAGGAGGGGTGCCCAGGTGGCTCAGTCAGATAAGCGGCTGCCTTCAGATCAGGTCATGATCCTTGGGTCCTGGGATCAAGCCCCACATCGGGCTCCCTGTTCAGCAGAGAGCCTGCTTCTCCCTCTCCCTCTGCCTGCTGCTCTTGTGCTAACTCTCTGCCAAAAACAAACAAACAAAACAAAACACACACACAAAAAACATAACAGGAATGGATCAGGGAAAAGTCCTGGATGTGAGAGAGAACAGTATGGCAATGTCGAGATGTGAGAGAGAAATCAAAGAACTTCAGGGTACCGGAAGTAATTCACTTTGTCTAAATCTAAAGTGAGGGTGTTTTTTAAAGACCCAAACTAAAACTAGTAGAAATAAACTTTTGTGTTATGTTCCAGAAATGCTGTCTCTGTATTTGTTTTCCTCTTCAAGCACAGAAATAGAAATACATTTGTCATTCCAAGCATGTACTATTATAAATTTATCCATAAGGCATTTATTCTTGTGAAGAGGTAATATAAACACTATAAGGAACTGTCTTTAATTTTTCTCACTTTATACTTTATTACCTAGAAGTAAATGTGTTATAATGTATTATTCCACAATAAGTTTCAGTTTTATCTCCTAGAGAATTACATAATAGTAATAAAACACAAGAGGCACATTGGCTTAGATCAGCTCTCCTCAAATGCCTTTAAGTATAATTAAAAATCACAGAACCTTGAAAGATGATACCATTAAACACAAGATTCGATTAGCACATGATTACTTCCAAATCAAAATTTAAAATGATCTCAGTTACAGAGAATATTACTGTAGACTTTGTTCTTCATTATTAAAAGCAAAATGAACATACTAAACGCTAACATGGAATGAGGAAGAAAGACAGTGATTGTGAGGGAGACTAAGGTTAGGTGAGGAACTGGAAATATTTTTAACACTGTTGTGAGTAGGAATCTTTGAGAGGAGAAATGTATAAGGAGGATTTTTTAGGGGCAATTATTTTATCTGGCCTTTGAATCCCTTGAGGATACATATTATTTTTAATGGTAGAAAGTAAATGTGGTTTCCAGATATGAGAAAATAAAAACATCAAAGAGAAACGCATTTACTCTTATGCTACCCATTTATTATAGAGCAAACAATAATTAAGTCATTTTGTTAAGCAACAACTACTTTATTTTTTAAAAGATTTAATTTATTTATTTATTTATTTATTTGAGAGGGAATACAAGCAGGGGGAGTAGGAGAGGGAGATGCAGGTGCCCCACAGAGCACAGAGTCCCAATGTGGGGCTCAATCCCAGGATTCCGGGATCATGATCTGAGCCAAACTCAGACGCTTAACGACTGAGCCACCCAGGTGCCCCCAACAACTACTTTAGAAATCAGTAGGATTTTTAACTAAGCTGAGATACCATGACATACCTTCCTAAAATACAGTGAAGCGTATATATTTCTAAATTTCCATTTTTTAAAAAGGGAAGGTCATACAAATCAAATAAAATGAAGAACCTCACTGCCAAACTGAAGGAAAATTGTTAAAATTCAGTGAGAAGAAACTACAGCATTTCATTACTCATAGATCAAAATATAAAACAAAAACCATGACTTTTAATGCACTTGCATAAACATAAAATTCAACTTTCATTTTTAAAAATTATCTTTTTATTTTATTTTTTAAAAAGCAAACTCTACCGCCAACATAGGGCTCAAACTAATGACCACCAGATCAAGACTGACATGGTTCACCAACTGATCCAGCCAGGGGCCCCTCAATCTTCATATTTTTAAGAGAGAAAGAATTATTGACCCAGGTAGATGAGATGATTTGTCCAGGGTTGGGAAAGAAAGTATGAGAAAGCAGATATACCAGTTCTTAATGGAATGCTCTTTGATAACCTAAATATAATATTCACCTGATACTAACTCCTGATTTATATTCATGATAAATGATGCTAGCCCCCTTTCCCCTTACAGGGTGTAAACACTTAGAAATTCTGAGAAATAATTTGCCAAGACTAATTTCATAAGAACTGATATATTCACAAGGAAATATGAAAAATAGAAAAGATGTGGTAAACAAAGGAGGCAGCTAAGTAAATAAATACATGTTTATTTTAGCAATAGCTTGTAAGTATATTGTGAAGGGAATTTACCTGGGGAACTGTTTCTTCTCCTTTATCTTCAAGTAAAGCCTGAGGTGCTGATAGAAAATCCTTTTTGTCACAGCTCTCCTGGCTGATGAGCGTGTCCGCATAGTTGGGCTGGGGGAAGATCAGGTGACTCTTG